CACCCGAGGAGCGAGTGGTGGTGCGGGCACAGGGCAGGGGCCAGCGCGGTGCCTCTCCTGAGCTGCTGTGCTCAGTGAGGGGTGGGCAGCCGGCGAGGTGTCGGTGGGGCTGCCTGGCCCAACGGGTGTTTCAGTGCTGTGAGGAGCACCAAGGGTGGTTGGATGTCACTGTGCCACAGGAGTGGAGCTTTCTCCTGAGTGAAGGGAAAGCCAGAGACAAATCTCTGGTGTGCAACAAATCAGGGGAAGCGATGAGCATTGGTGATGCTACTGTCTCCTCACAGTTTTCCTCTGTCTCTTCTGATCCTAGGCCGTTTCGGGATCTTTCAGGGAGGAAGAGGCTGAAGTTCCTTTCAGAATTGGGAAAGTCATTGCTTTAACGCTGATCCCACTCTTCCCCACCCCCTGACCCAACTGTGAAATCTTGCCTCTAAGAGTACACGCTGTAGTTAATAAAAGGCGCTGAAATACAGGTCCAGCTCCCACTATTTCCAGGAACATTTGGTCCCATAAAACCATAGGAAACCATAATTTCAGCAAATTAAATCAATTACTACCTATCTCTGGCTGCATGCATGGAAAGGGAAGAGCACCCCGCTGGCTCTCTGCACGGGGAGAAACACCAGTCAAATTCCACCAGGGTCCACGCTGGGAAAGGGAAAAGGGAGGCAACAGGCAGTCCCAGAAAGGCACGTCTCATTCAAGCAGACATTAAAGGAATGCCATATGCTAGAGGAAAAATGTAGAGCAAACACTGAGCTCGTCAGTCACTTTTTGTTTAATCTAATTAAACACAGTATATCCTCTGACCTTCTGGGTTGGCACTAAATTCTCCTATGTTGTTCTTTCCATATGAAGCTCTACTGACAGATGGGGAAAGCCTAGAGTTTGCTTTAAGCTTTAGATAAGTAAAGTTAAACATGCAGCAGATAAAATTGTTTTCCCAGCACTCCTCTCCCACTGACCAATTGTGGGTGCTTGCTGGAAGGGTTTAATTCCTCTGGCCTGTATCCCACCCTCGGCTTGGGGCATCGTGCTCCACAGCAAGTTATAAGAGAGCAGAAACAGAATTAAGAGTGCTGCAGCAATCCCTGAAAGTTGATTTTTAGAGTTGGTTCTGACAGTTGCTCGGCTTTTTCCATGTGGCAGACGATTAGGGAAGACGATGCCACTCCTCACTGAATATATTTCCAGAGTCACTAGATAATTTGCTGCCTAACAGCTAATCAGTCAGCATTTGCTGATGCTGAAACAGGTTTTAAATAAAAATTGTCACATTGCATCAGACACCTCGTGCATATTCCCTGCTTACACAGACTACGTGCTGTTGCTATGTGTGCAGGAGCACAAGCGGTCACCTTCATGTGTTTTCTGGGAGGGAAAGCAGTCACAGAGCTGGAGTTGGGGAGAGCAGGCTGCCAGGGTGGCACAAGCAGGCAGGGGCTTTGATCGTGCAAAAGAGTTGGAAGCATGTTTAGCTTTCGGCCTGACAGCTTGTGTGCTCACTTCCTTGCAGGCAGATAAGAAGAGCACATATCTGCCCTTCGCCGACATCACTTGGTAATGCCACCCGCAAAGCTGTTTTTTCCAGTAGGTGAAAAACCCTTTAGTCTGAGGCTGGGGAGTTGCCACAGGTAACTTCTTAATGTACATACGGCTGTGCCTGTGCTGCTGGACCTCCTTGAAATATAAACCAGAAGTTACAGAAGAGCCTGGGGACAATGCCCTTACAGTTCCCAGCAGGCCAGGTTAAATAGATTTCTTTATTGTAAATAGCTTTAATATTTTTTAGATTAATAATGCCAGGCAGGGCGGGAGGCAGCAGCCCACCAAGCACAGGGGAGCTCTTTCCTGCACATGGCCATCAAGATGAGCAGGAGTGGTGTGAACCTTGTGCCTCTGATTTTCCATGGCCAGCTGCAGGAGCCTGACACGGGGGTTGGCACGACTAGGATCCCAAACTGTCGGCTTTGAGATGTCTGAATGCCTGCCAGTGTTTGAATAAATACAGACCTCTTGCTGGAAGCCCTCAGCCATCTCCAGCAGCTGTGAAGGACCCTGCGGATGGTTCAGAGCCACATAATGTCTCCCTTGAAGATGTAGGAAAAGTGCGAAGGGTGAACTTTTGGAGCAATCCCTTACCTAGGGAGCATTTTTTAACTTCAGGCAAAGGGGGTGGCAGGATCGTTGCGGGTGTTGGCTGGTGTCCCTCCTCCCTGGTCCAGCCTCCATCTCTCCTCTGCAGTGGGTCAGCAGCCCCAGAGAGCAGGCAGATGAAGTTGTGCAGCTGCTGGTTTACGAGAGGAGTTGGCCCTTGCAAAACTCACCGTGTTTTGAGGGCTCCTGTGACAAGGTGACTGGACATTTTGTGTAGATGTGTACACCCCAAAACAAACTGGACCGGAGAGGCTGCTATGCCAAGCAAGCTGTGCATACTGGGTGGTAACGTGCGATGAGCTGAGGGCACGGGAGAGGTTCATTTTGATGAAGGAAGATTTCCCTCATAGCACTGGGAGGAGGCTCAGGCATAAAACAAAAATCCCAATGGAATTGCAGAGAGTATGATCCCTCCTCTCTCGTGCAAGTGCCCACCTGGTTGCACCCACAAAGACGGGGGGAGTGCGGAATTGTCAGTGGCCACTGCAGCAGCCACAACTTGCCCTGCAGTCTTTTTTCCAGCAAGTTGAGACTGACTTCAGATGGACGAAGCCACCACAAGCCTCTGCATAAAACAAGTCCTTAAACACGTCCTTAGAACTTGGGTTGGAAATCCCTGGCTGAACCTGGAACTGGGTTGGTGCCTGGATGAAAACATTTCCCTCCAGTATAAAGGGATGGGGGCGTGCAGCCTGTTCCCTGTGGGGGTGTGCTCAGTGACCAGCTTTCTGTTTCGTTCAGCCCAGCAGAAGGGTTGTGGTGGTGTTTTGTGTCTCCAGGGCCTCGAGGCTGTTAGCCTGCGCTGGGAACGGTGACGGAGCAAAGTGTATCACTCCTGGAAAAGCCCCATCAGGGGGAAGCCAGGGTGGCTTACCCTGCTTTGGGGGCCACTTGCCTTCATTCTCCTTCTGCTTTGAATTACCTCAAGGTTTTAGCTATAAAGCTCTTAGCACCGAAAAACAAAATCTTGGCTTGAGAAGGTGCGTTGCCTTGGCATATTTCCTGGGACTGAGTGACTTACGATGCTGTGTGGTAAGTTGTGGGAGGACTTCTCCTCCTTGTTTTAGAGGAGGTGGGTCAAACTCATCTGGAGACCAAACTCCCTCGGAGACCTTTGCTTCCCCTCCTTTTTTTTTCACGACAACAGCCAGGACTTGATGTTACTATTTTAAAAACGAAAGGAGGGGACATCCCGCTCCCCGCCTTCGCTCCCACTCCCTGCCAAAAGGAGAACAAAGAACAGCTAAAGCACACAAGTTCTGGCACTGTGTTTGGAAATAAAAACATTCATCCTCATGTCAGGTAGGGAACTGCCCACCCACCCTGCCAAAGCAAGCAAACTGGGCGGCAGAGCAAACCCATGGCGCAGAGGAGCCTGGGCAAAGGGGATACCCGGTGTCACCCCATGCTCGGGCAGCCACTTGCCAAACTCCTGCACCGCTGTACCGATGCCAGGGCACGCAGGGACTCTCCTGGCCGCAGGCAGTCATCCAGGGAAGGGCCACCCTGCTCCTCCTGGGCTGAGAGGACGGGAAGGACCTTTCTTCTTCCCCTCTCCTGTCCCTGGTCCCCACCGCGTGGGCAGCTCCTGCATCTCTGTGCGACGTGTCCCTGCTGCCCGGTGGGGCTTGTGCGTGGCACAGAGGTAACCCAGTGTAATTTCCACGCTTTAGACACTAACGTCTTTGTCTGGCTTGTTCCTCTCCATTTAAACATGTCAGCAGTTCCCAGCACGGATTCCTGTGCCATGAGTTCACCCCCGACAGGCATCCAAAATGCAAGTCAGGACTGCTGGCTGTTCCCCGCCTGTCTGTGAAGCGTTACTGGAACAAGGGCCAGTTCTCCAAACACGAGGAAGAGATTACTTGGGCTTTCTGGAAGGCTCCTTCCCATGCCTTCAGAGCAGAGCAAATGAGGATAATTTATCTGCAGGCTTCCGTCTGAAGTCAGTAGCTTGGAGCAGCCAGGACTATGCTGTCTGTTTGTCCCAGCTCCTGCAAGAAGACATTTTTCCATTGTTGCTGTTGTATATTGTTCGCCTGATTTGTTTGCGCCGTTGCCTTCTGGGGCTGAGATAAGAGGTCGTCCCCTTGCCTTTTACTGGTGGCATGTTCCTTAGAAAAATCCATGGAAAAACCCTCACAGGAAAGAGCCTTCGAAGGAGGCTTTCGTATGTCTGATGCAGTCCTCGTCCTCATGTAAATAGTTTTATGTGATCTATCTGGCGAGAAAACGTAACATGTCAGAAGGGAATTGTTCTCTAGAATGTAGCTGCGGATGGGCCAAAGCAGGCGGATCAGCCACATGCGGGTTTGCCAGCTTAATGGACAAAGCAGCTGCCTTTCAGCGGGGAACAAAAGGCAGGCGGTGAGCCTACGCGCCTTTGTGTGAGCGCCTCTTGTTCCCCGCTGGAGCTGGAGTTGAGTTTTGTGGCCAGATAGAAATCCTGGGCTCCCTTCCCCTCTTCGTCTGCCGTGATCTAAGGCAGTAACCAAGGATGGGTTAGTGTCCCTGCCGCTTCTGCAGGGCGATGCGCGGAGCGGAGGCAAGGTAATGCAGATGGCTGGGCGCTCTGCAGCAGCAGCAGCCAACTGGAACAGCACTGTAACGCCGTCCACTTCAGTGAAGTTACCCGTGATTTTTGAATGTAGAGTCAAAGCCCAGCAGCTCCAGCTTGGCACAGAGCAATGGGAAAAGAGCAGACTCTCTGTTTGCTTCCATCCTGTGCTGGCTCTGATGCTTTTTCCCCTGTCCAAAACAGCTGCGTGCTGCCTGAAGTGACTTTACGGACAGTACATGCTTAAAACATTGCATTCACCTTCATGATTTTTTTTTTTCCTTAGAGCAAATCATGGCGGAAGATCAAGAATATGGTGCACTGGTCCCCATTTGTGATGTCTTTCAAGAAGAAGTACCCTTGGATCCAACTGGCAGGACACGCAGGTACGGGGCATGGGGAGGGGCAGAGAGGTGGAAAGGCTCTTCGTTATCTCAGATTAGTCGGCTTTGTTGGCCAGAATTGCTTCTGTCTGCTGCGGGAATGTCGTGGATTTCAGCTCCCATGTCTTTAGCTCAGGAGAGTGAATTACTTAAATGCTAGGGAGGGTGACGTGAGGGTGCAGTGCTCTGTGCTTTCAGTCTCCCAGGGCCAGCAGCTATTACTGCTGCTTTTTTTCTCAAGCTTTAGGTGAGTCATTTGGGTGAGACCCAAGCCCACTTGCTGCTCCACAGCAAAGCAGGTGATGCAGCCCAGCACAACGATGCCCCACACATGAGCCTAGAGTCAAAGGGGTTAACGTGCCATGAAGTACACAGAGGCTGTGAAACAAATGTGTTGGGTGCTGCAGGGCAGGTCTCTGCCTTGTCTGAAGTGTGGCTTTGCTGGTTATAAATCCCTGACCCTCCAGGTGAATCTGACAGCCCAGGCTTCCAAGTCCCAGCCTGCAGGGACTCTTTTGGGTGCGGGTGTAAATGGAGATGCTTGCAAGGTGTTGGGCTGCCCTTCTTGTTTTGGGAAGGCACAGCATCATTCCTCATCCAAAGCAAGTGGCACGTTGTACCTCGTCACCCTCAGGTAGTTTCAAGGCAGCAGCCAATGGCAGGATACTGAAGAAGCACTGTGAATCGGAGCAGCGCTGCCTCGACCGCCTGATGAATGATGTCCTGAAGCCCTATGTTCCTGCCTATCATGGCGACGTTGTGAAGGACGGGGAGCGATACAACCAGATGGAAGATCTGCTGGCTGAATTTGACTCCCCCTGTGTTATGGACTGCAAAATGGGGGTCAGGTGAGTGGCTTTGGGGACCTTGTTTGAGCTTTAAGATGGGATATTTGAAGCAAAGGCATCTCCTGGGTAAAGCCTTCTGGAGCACACAAGTGAGAACACCAGGCTTACCTGTCTTCAGGAAAAGCTAAGCCAGTAGTGTGAGCAAAGAGCCGTGGGGAGGTCTGGGTAGGGGAAGGACACACCAGGCTCTTTCCTTCCCTGCTTGTTGACTGTCCCATGTGCTGGGGAAGTGCTTTTGTGCAGTGGAGGGGACAGCACTCTGTTTGGGTACACCAGAATTGCACAGCAGCTTTTAGGAGGATGACAACCTGCTTCTCTCTGCCACAGGAGGACAAAGCCAAGGGGCAGGGAGCAAAAGGTGGTGAGATCCTGCCCAGGGTGCCAGAGAGGTGAAATAAAGACACTCGAATGGCAGAGCTTGAATGGCAAGAAACTTTCCTTCTGCTCACTCTTTGCTCCAATGCACACTTGAGGGATAAAATGTGTGTGCTAAAGTAGTTTAGTGCCTCTCATGCAAAGTCCTTGAAATATTTCCTAACAGATGAGCAACATTACCCGTGTCCTCCTCGAGAACTTTATATAGATACGCCAAGATCCCAAGCCGCAGCCACTTGGCCAGTAGCAGGTTTTGAGCTAGCAGCAACACAGTTGACCAGGATGTCCCAGAGCAAATGTGAGCAGGGCAGGTGACCCCAGGCATCTGCCAGTTTTGGAGTAGCCTCAGGCCACCGCTCGGTGCTGGGTCTGCTGGCTGGCGGCACGGTGGGTTGAGACCCCCCTCGCTGACTGCGGCGCAGCCCAGACGCAGTGGAGACGCTTGCGCTGCTGGAAAAGCTGATGGTTTCTGTGGGAGGGAGGAATCTTTTTTTTTCCCCTCCTGAACTCCCAATGTGAAACTCGAACTGGCGTGTCAGGCTGTCGGCAGGGAAGAGGCGAGGAATAGTTTCCACCGGAGCGATGGAGAGAAGGGCAGGGGGCCCCGGCGCAGCCACATGGCCCCAGCTGGCACATACGGTGCTGCCAGAGGAAGGAGATGGGACACGCTCTGGACCCGGAGATGACAGCCACTAGAAGAAAACCTGCTGGTCATGCTATCCGGATGCTCCTGTGGCTGTCTCTGCGAGGAGAAAAGCCTCCCGCATGCAAATTGTAGACCACGGGCTTTGTGTACCTGGGTTTTTGGAGCTAAGACAGGCAGAGCAGACAAGAGGGCAAACGTGCCAGGCATCATCATCTTCATTAAATAAGGTAGAGCTGTGGGAGGAGCTGGTGAGGGAGGGTGAATTGGGTTAATGTTGGAGAGTGGGGCATCACCACAGCTGGGCAGGAGAGACTCTGGCAGATAAACTAGACCTCAGGACTACTAAACCTGTCCTCTAAGCCAGCAGCTTGCTGCCAGGCAGATAGAGGTTTGGTTTTTCTCCTGCCAACCTGGCTTTGGGATTTGGCAGCCTCCTCCAGTCACCCCTAAGCAGAAGTTTGTCTTTCTTAAGCCCTGGTGATGGTTCAAGCGTGGAGCGCTGTGGGGGGACTGAACCGCAGACACAGACAATCTGTCATTCTCATCAAAAGGAAATGTAGCTTTCTGAGCGGTGTGAGCAGCACTTCTGAGCACGCTCTTGCTTTATTGTGCCATTTTATTCCATCTGCCCAAAAATCATGGGTTTGGTGATCTCAGCTGAAACCTTTCATTGCTTTTACCTGCAGTGTTTTTCACAGGGACTGATGCCCAGGGAAGGTCTGCTCAGTGATCATATGCTTGTTCTGAGAAAAGACAACAGTTTCCCTTGCTAAGCCTGTGGGAAACAGCAACACCGTCCCACGTAGTCTGCCTAGCTTCCTCTGTGTGTGTTTTGCTTGGTTCAGGAGGTGAACCACACGTTCAGTGCTGGGATTTTTGCACAAGGGACATAGAGGAAGGGCACAGCCCCTCTGCAGAGCTGGACATGACCAGTGGGAGGTGTAGAGCAGTTTGGGTTTGGGGAAAGGAGGTGACAAATAGGGTCATTCCCGTGTCGTTTTGCTGAGACATCTCACTTGGCTTGGCAGGTGGTTTGGATAGAGCCTGGGCACTTGCCAGGCTGAGCTGGGGCAGGTTTGGGAGCCACAGGAGGAGTTACGTAGCGGTTTATTACTGCTGCAGGAAGTATTATTTTGTGGATGATGGTTTTCTGCATGCCAGAGTGCAGAAGTTTTCCACCAGTGTGCTCTAGCACAAAGTGGTGATCCTCCAAAGGATGTATAAAACCCACGGTCTTTGCAAACTCTTCCGTACCCTCCCTTCCTTCCCCCATTCTCCTATCCCAACTGCACCCAACTGTGATCCTGGGGGTGACGGTAAGCACCTGGCCAAGGCTGCGTCCCTTCCTCTGCTCTATCCTGTAGAGGAAGCTTTTTCTAGATAGTCCACTTGAAACAGACCTATGCTGGGCAAGATCAGCAGCAGCGAAACAGCCCTTCATGAAAAGACCCTGCTTAGCAGCTGATGAGGCAGAGCCCTCGCAGTGCTTGGAGTGAGGGGATGAGAAAGCCCAGGAGAGGCACAGGAGCAGCAGCCACCCACGTCCTTCTGTCACCTCCTTCCCCCCCAAATCCAAACTGCTCTGCACCTCCCACCTCTGAGGAAAAAACCTCCTTTGTTACTGCCAAATCGGTTGTGGTTCCTTGATGAACTGAAAAGGCATCAGGTCCTGGTGATGGGTGCTAATTAAACCAAGATCAATTCACCTGCAGTGAAGCTTGTTCTATTATTTCCCATCTGCCCTACCCTGTAGGGTTCAGCTGTCCTGTATAGGCCTGATTTCAGTGGCAAGAGCTGGTTGTGGGTATGTGGCACCTCGTGTTGTGGTCCTATGGCCCTGCTAATGTTCCCTCCATCACTCCTTGCAGGACGTACTTAGAGGAGGAGCTGATAAAGGCCCGGAAGAAGCCGAGCCTGAGGAAGGACATGTACCAGAAGATGATTGAGGTGGACCCTGATGCCCCTACCGAGGAGGAGAATGTGCTGCGGGCAGTAACCAAGCCCCGCTACATGCAGTGGAGGGAGACCATCAGTTCAACTGCCACGCTGGGCTTCAGAATCGAGGGGATAAAGGTGAGTCTGCTCCAGGTGTGCAGAGCAGGGGAAACAGCTGCCCAAAGTGGTAACCAAACTCACTCAGAGAGGCACACACACACGCAGAGCTGGTGGTCACATCAGGACAGCCCTGGTCCCTGCAGCCAAACCAGCCTTGTCAGGTACCTGGCCCAGGGCAGTGCTGCTCTTCTGAGAGCCCTGAGCTCAGGACATCAATGCAAGAGGACAGTTTTAGTCATAATCTCATTAAATCAGCCACTTGGTTGATTTCCCCAACTGCAAAACGCAAAGTGCTGTCCTCCAGCTTGAAGACTCAAGTTAGCTGTTTGCTTTTGATACTGCTGTGTCACTAGGCTGAGCCATTAATCCAAATCCCAGCTTGAATGTGTGCCAGTCTGTGGCTGAGACTGTGAGTTTAGCTGCTGTTGGTGAGGAGGTTCTATTTACGCCCCTGTCCAGAAGAATTCAGCAGCTGAGCCCTATGAAATGGGGTGAACACAAGCAGCAGCACTTTCTGCTGGCACTTGCACGCATGTGTAACCTCCTGACTGCACTGGTTCAAAGCTGATGCTCACATTTCTGGAGATACTTGCTGGGATGCTTTTGTGTCCCCATTAGATGAGTTTTCCTCCTGGAAAGCAGATTTTGTGGTGAGAGAGTTGTCCAGGATGGCACTTGAACAGAGTTAGGTCTGTAACCGCAGAGCAGTTTTATTAGTGATAGAAGACTTGCATGAACGTTAGCAATGGAATATGCCTTTTGATAGCCAGCCAACATGAATTAAAGGTAATATCATGCTTGAGCTAAGGGTTTCATTGCGTGCCTGGGCATGGCATAGAGGAGCTCAGTCAAGTCATGCCTGCAGTAATTCAGGCTTGGGGCACTGCTGGGGGCCCAGGCGGTAGCTCAGGGCAGCTCTTAGCAGAAATGATGGTGTGATTTCTACATGTGTCTTGGTTGGAGGAGTTTCTTTCTCCTGATCATACGTTGTTTTTCTCTTGAGTTGGGTGGGATTCTCCCAGAATGCCTGTCTGGGTCTCTGTGGTTTTAAACTCCTCCACCTCTCCTGACTGAAGACAGTGACATTGAAATGATAGAACTAAAACAAACGAAGCCATTCCCTGAAAAAGCCTTTACACCAGATTTTGTAGAGTTTCCTGGTAGTGTTCTCCTTTACCTCCCCAGTCAAACAGCAAACAGATGCAGATGTTAGACCACAGGTTTAAAAGGTGAGTGGATCACCTCAGCAGGAGTGGGTCACTGAGCTGCTACTTGTGGTTACCCACATACCAAATAACTGGTGGGACGGGACTTGTCTGTCCTGCCATGCAGGACAAAATCCCTGGGCTGTGGGAAGCCTGGCAGAACATGTTGCACACAGGCTGGAGGGCACCTGCTTCCTTCAACTGTTTCATGGCCACCACTCTCAGAAATCCAAGGAGCAGCCTTTGGGCTGAACCCCTTCAAGAGTTTTCTGGCAAGCAACGCGAGGCACCGACCCACGGCCCTGCTTGGGGTGCTGCCGGTCATGCTCCCCCACAACAGCTTTCTGTGGTGCCTGCACTGGGTCAGGGCACCTGCCTGCTGGTGCAGCTCTTCCCTGATCTCCCCGGCTCCCCTAAAGCCCCTTTTCTGCCATGGGTGCTCGCAAACACGCTGTGAGCTGCTCCGGCTCGGGACAACCCTTTGCCTAGTTCCTGTTGCTGCTGTTTTGCGTTCCCATTGCTGTTGTTTTGCTGGTGCTTATTATAAAACTGAGGCTATATAAAAATGGAGTGGGCCAGCTGGGACCAAATCTCCCATGCACTGTTTCTTCTCCCTGCTTTCTTGCTATAATCAGGAATACCTTGTCTATTTATAGTCCAACATGATGTATCCTTGGCCTCCAAAGGGGCTTCTCAGCTTGTGTTCTGGGAATGTTTAGGGGGTTTTACGGCAAAAGCAGGTCATCTGCGAACCACTTGAAATGAAAAATGGGGGGAAAATAAATCCAACTCACATTCCCATGCAGGCCAAAAAACACTGTGGAGGAATACAAAAGCCATAAAGGAGTGGTGAGAGCAGCACCTCTGTTTTAGCTGACCGTAAGTGAGCTGTTGTGTGATGTGAGCAGTGGATTTTTTTCAAAGGGGTGAGGCAGCTCTTTAATTGAAAAATATTGAGAAATGCTGGCCTCCAGGAGTAATCCTACTGCTGCTGCTAGGGGCTGACTAATTTGATCAAGGCTCTAATTACTGTAATTCTCCATAAATCCATCAGCTTCGGGATTATTTTCCCTTAAGCTAAAGCATTAACAGTTCATGATGGTTCCTGGCTGGCTTTTTTTCCAACAAGGCTGTACAGCTGGTTGTGCTGTGCCGTATCCCTGTATCTGCCCTATTTCTGAGGTCGAGTCTCCACATTAGGGAAAAGCACCTGAGCTAATACTGAGCCCTCAGAGGAAATTTCCAGAAAATATTATTCAATGACAAGTCTCTCCGTGTTTTCCTTCTTGCTGAGGATGCTTCTGTGGGAAGAAGAGGGGTGACTTCCCTGCCCCTCGCTCACGGCTGGAGGCTGATACTGGAGAGCACCTTGCTGTGCAGGGGAAGGGCAGGATGTGGCCCTGGGTGCGTAGGCTGCACAGGGAGAGGAGTGCCGGCAGCCTTTGGGAGAGGGCAGGCAAGTGAAGTGAACAGCCAGCTCAGGGTGGGGCATGAGGATTGGGACCCTTTCCTGGCTGAGTTCTCACTCTTCCACATGGCTTGAAGGATCTGGTTCTTCCATTTCAAAATGGAAATTTTCCTCTGCGAGAGGAGATAATGAGACTCCACTAACTTCCTGGAATAGCTTGGAAGTGTTCAAGACAGTATCTATTAATAAAATTACCATGCTAAAAGTGATATGAATGATCCCTGGTGACCCAGTTGAAGGTTACTGGGGCTGGTTGCAAGAAGTACCACTCCTGAGCTCCTGCTCTGGTCTGAGAATCAGTCACCATTGCCTGCAGCAAGGCCATGGTGGGACAGTATTCCTTGGGGCTGGGATGTTTGTGGGGTCCCAGAACAAGCACTGAAAGCCTTTACCTGACTTTCCCAAGAAGGGCGGCTCACAAGCCCGATCCAAGGCCAGACGCAGTATCGAAGGGAGAGCCGGCTGACCCGGACCCTGCCCCAGTGACGCCAGCACAGACTGGAATTGCTGATGGGGCGGAGGTTGCAATAGCCCTTATCAGCCCCCCTCACATTTCTGCTGTGTGGAAGCCAGCCCCCTCGGGGCTTGGACACCTGTAAATGTCGTGGCAGTTGTCAGCCCCATGGCAGCAGCATCTGGCCAGGCAAGGAAACCGCAGGGGGAGGGTAGTAATTATGGGAGCAGCACTACGGATAGGCTGTTTGGCTTTCCTGAAGCCTAGATTGCCTTATCTGAAAGGCCATCTGTGGTTTCCATTTATTTTTAGCAGCACTTAGAAGTCCATCTCCTTTCTTGGATGCTTTGTGGAAAGTTGTGCTCTTTACATGTGAAATTAGCATGGTGGCACCTCTCCAAATTGATATCTATCGTACCCCTGGGGAAGAGGGTGGGTTGATTTCTGAAATGCCACGTCAGTGCTCACATGACGGGCCTATAGCACCGTGGCACCCTTCTCCTGTACGTCGCACTGTGCCACCTGAGCATCCTTGGTGAAGCCTCCTGCCTTGTGAGGCACAGCCAAAAGCTGAGAGCCTGGCTTTGCTTGGTCCATCAGCAGGATGGCTGCCACCGCGGAGAGGTCTCCAGCGAGAAGGTTGTCACCGGCCCCTGCTGATGGGTGCTCCGCCAGCCATTAGCTTTGCTTTCCTACCCTGTGGCATGGTGGTCCGGCTAGGCCCAGGATGGTTTGAAGCTGGGTGTGTTGGTTGCACCCCATGCCAGCAAAGTTTTTCCTGGAGACAAAAGTCTTCTAGACGTCGCTTTCGGTATAGCCTTCGTTAATACTTGCACAAAATTGAAGTTGGGAACGCGTTGTGCAATTCACCCGAAACTGCACAACAGATGTGAGTTTGGTCTTGGGCTCACCTTGCCTGACTCCCCGCAGCGAGGGCTCTCCACCTTCCTCCAAGCTGGACTGGCCTCCGTGCCCGCAGCCAGCCCTCCGTCCAGGGGAATGCATGTGACCCCATCCCTGGGCACTTCCCTCTGATGAGTCTCGAAGTCCTGCCAGGGCACATAAATCTCTGAGGCACGTGATTTCATTGTCCTCTCTTCCTTCCCCAGCCTCTGCTCTGCTTCTTCATCCTTACTTCATCTTCCCTGGCCCACAGGATGTCTTTTTGGCCTCTGTCCCTTTGCTCTATTGTGCGCGAATGAGCTGTCTGGAGCAGCGGGATGGAGCTCTGCGAGCGGAGCTGTGAGCGCCAGCACGTGTGGTTTAAAATAGCCCCTGTATCCAGGAAGCAAGCTCTGCCTGCCCGACCTGCGGCCACTCTGGACAATGAAATGTGCTGATCTAAAAATCAGAGCCCCAGCAGTAGTAGAGAAATGGTGAACGACCTACAAGGCTGCCCAGAGGTTCAGCCGGGAGCCTCTGGGTTGAGGCTGCGTGCCATCCCCATGGCGAGCTGAGCGTAGGAGCACCTCTGGGTGCTGAGAGGCAGAGGCCCCTCAGCTCAAGAGAGACAGGGAACTGCTTGACAGAGTCCAGCACAGAGCCACAAAGATGATGAAGGGAGTGGAACATCTCTCTTATGAGGAGAGTCTGAATGAGCTGGGGCTCTGCAGCTTGGAGAAGAGGAGGCTGAGGGGTGACCTCATTAGTGTTTATAAATACGTCAAGGGGGAGTGTCAGGAGGACGGAGCCAGGCTCTTTTCAGTTATGTCCCGTGGCAGGACCAGGGACAATGGGTACAAGCTGGAACATAGGAGGTTCCACAAAAATATTAGAAAAAACTTTTTCACTGTAAGGGTGCCAGAGCCCTGGCACAGGCTGATTTTTCACGTTGTGGAGTTTCCTTCTCTGGAGACTCTCAAAACCCATCTGGATGTGTTCCTGTGTGACCTACTGTAGGTGAGCCTGCTCTGGCAGGGGGGCTGGACTAGATGATGTTTTGAGGTCCCTTCCAACCCCTGACATTCTGTGATTCTGTGAGAGCACGAGGCTGCTCGCTGCGTTTTGGTGCCAGGCTGCTGCTTTTGAGGGTTTGTGATCTATAGGTTATCAAAGGAAGACAGCCATGGGCCTTGTGCCTTGCCTTCATCTCTGTGCTTCAGTGGTTTGGGGAGGGCTTTGCGTGGAGGGTTTTTTGTGCCAACTTCTCAGATATTGTCTCTATCCACACTTGGTTGTGTCCTACCATGGTCGTGCTTCTCCCGCCTCTCCCCCCCGCGGGCCGCCCCC